ACATATATACATATGTATATATGTTCACATATACATATGTATGTATATATGTGAACATATATACATATATATGTGAACATACACACACATATATACAGTATATATATACTGTATGTGTGTGTATGTTCACATATACATATATATATACATGTTCATATATGTATGTTCATATATACATATGTATATATGTCCACATACACATGTATATATACATATGTATATATGTTCACATATACATATGTATGTATATATGTTCACATATATGCATATATATTTCATGTTCAGACAACAGAATGTGTGTTTTATGCTTCAATTTCTTTTAAACTTAAATCTTGTACGCTTGCATAAAACCATTTATATTGAATGTAACGCTGCCAAATTGTGCTTATATGTACATAATGTAAATAAAAACTGCTGCACCCGTTTTCATGAAACTTTTTTTTTTAAACATATGGTAAATATAATGTGGCGCTTTGGCCCAGAGGCAATGTCTCTGTCATTGGTGTGGAACCCCAGGGTTCACCTCCTGGGCAAGATCGAAACCCGGTTAGGGCGGTTGGTACCTTCCAGTCGACTGCTGCCCCCACGACCCGGTAACGGATAAGCGGATGAAAATGGATGGATGGATGGTAAATATATATATACAGATCAAGGAGTTCAAGCTTATATTTTAGAAAGCTAATTTATTATACAAACTCATGTGACAAATGTGGCATTCAGCACCCCACCTTACACCTGGTAGATGGTGGACACTATAAGACAAAAGGTCTTATATAAGGCTTAACTGATATGACCTGAGTGTGGAAGTGTTATGTCTCTTCAAAAATAACATTTGTTTTGCAATGTTTCAGATAAACCAGAGAGTAAAATGCGACATAGAAAAAGAAAATCAACCAACTTTCTATTGTATGAAGGCTGATATGACACTTCTCAAATCACTGATCTTGAGGCTTTTAAGGTTGTGTACTGTGTAAAAACTAGGGATGTCCGATAACAGTTTTTTGGGGGGACGGGCTGCATGTTCCGGTATCGGTTGACATCGGAATTTGGAAAACTGTGTTTGGACAATATTGGCGTATTGAATATTGGCAAAAAGTTCACATCGGACATCCCTAGTAAAAACCTCTGATGACTGTCCGGCACTACGAAAGGTATTTGTCATCAGTCAAGATAACACGCTATCATCGCAGAGCTGTTGTTTAAGAAACTAAATCTCGCACAAACTACTATCTAGTATTTGCCATAACATTTCTTTTTTTCTCTGTTACGCAAATTGATCACACTCTAAACAGATCTGAGGGCAACGCGCAATAAAGGCCCTCCGTAGACGGCATTTAAACCTGAAGGCACAAGTAAATAACCTCCACCTAGCTTGCGTTACAGTACATGATCAATAGTTTACCAACATGGTGTAAACCTGGCGTAAACTGGACTGTTGTTAGTCAGAGGTCGTCAACAAAGAGCGGATGTGCTGTGATAGGAAGAGGAAAAACAAAGAGCGGATGTGCTGTGATAGGAAGCAGCGAGGAAAGAGGAAAAGGAATCAAGGGATGATTAGCGGTAAGGCCAGGGGTGTCAAACTCATTTTGGTTCAGGCGGTCGCGTGCAACCTAATTAGTCGTTAAGTCAAGCGGGCCGGACCAGTACGACCATAACATAATTACCTATAAATAACAAAAGTCTTTTTCCCCCCATTTGTTTAAATGCATAAAAGCAGTTCGATAAATATTTTATCAACCAATCAAATCATTTCGTGAAATAATAACTAAACATGAAGTGTTAGTGTATCATCTTGTGTTCAAAATTCATTCCAATAGGCCGGTTTTGGCCTGCAGGCCGTATGTTTGACACCCCTGGGTGAGGGTCCAGAGTTGAGATATACATCTGGAGGTTAAGGAAGCAAAATATGTTGCGAGTTTAGAACCGGCGAGGAAGAGTAATCAGCGCAAGAACGAAGGATGGGGTCAAGTTGTGAATTTAGCAAAAAAAAAAAAAAAAATAAGTTGGATGTTAGATTAGCATAAAGGCCCGGTTAGTTGTGGTGTTGAGGAAAGAAATGGAGAACTACAAATGATCGATTCCAAGTTTAGGAAGAAAGAGGGACACGAAGACCACATAAAGGTGGAGTTTGTCCTGGGAAAAAAAAAACAACTGAGAAAAGTAGTGTGATGGTAGTGTAATGAGGAGTTAAGGTCTGAGGACGTTTAAGGCACAGGATTTCTTCTCTTATTGATAGGCACATTCAATATCTCAAGAAAACACTCCCTAATACAGCATCTACCTCCGGGGTGGGTATGGGTTATGCGTCACTAAGCGATTCCACTATATATTAAACCCCAGCGCAAAGCACCTACACCGGTGTGTGTGCAATAGCATGCAAGTCAAGCAGAATACAATACTGGCCTCACTGAGAAGACATGCAAAAAAATAAGTAAAGAAAATCTCTAGCTAACTTTGAAAATCATATACCAACTACCAGAAACTGAAGCAAAATCTAACATGAAAAAAAAAAACTTTTTGGTATTCAATAATTCTCCTGCGGGAGGCGCTGTTTCAGATGTTTACGGCTTGGTTTTACATAATGGAGCATTTCTCAGGCTTGGCACGACCCTAAAGGAGAAAGAAACAAGGAAACAAATCTCCACGTTAGTTTCTTGACGATACTTCTTGTGACCAATGACTCGACCACTGCCAGCCACTTCCTCATGTATATAAAAAAAAACTATTTCCTTACAGTATTAACACTTCTCTGTTTGGGAATAGAAAAGAAAAGAAAGTCTAGACCACGGGTGTCAAACATAGGGTCCGCGAACCAAAACAGGCCCACTCGAGAGGTCAATCGGCCCACGCTTGATAAAAGGAGAACTTCAAATGATTGTTTTACGAAAAATGCCACCTAGCATTATAATTTTATTTTCATTTTAAGACATTTTACCGTTCATTTTTGTTTTTTATTTGCTTAACATGCCTGCAATACAACTTTGAAGTTTCGCTAGTGACGTATTTCCTTTTTTTTTTTTTAATTTTTTTATATAATATTAGCTCCCTGTTGGTTTCACGTTTGTGTTCATTCTGACAAAAATAGTGGTCACCCGCTCCTCAACTAATGCGCATTAAGTAATCGACCTGAAGATGGGGGTTTGGCTCAACAATGAAGTAATTCGAGTGATCACACGACACGGCGTACGTGGCAGTTTAGCAATCGCACAAAATGTACGCGCACTCCATCCCCCCTCTCTGAATGTGAACAAAATGAGTATCGAGTACGCGGTAGATCCCGAATTAAAAGTAAATGCAGCTAATTTGTGGATTTTTACGGGCTAAAAGGTTCATACCGCTAGCTATCAATGACTTTTCTGGTAGGCTACTGTGTGTTATGCTAGTAGCGTATGTCTGTCCGTGAATGGCTGTGTGCGTATACGTGCGTCAGACTTCTAGAAACTTCCCTGTTTCTGTTTTACCTCTGCTGCGGACAGGGCACAAAGTGAAGGGAGTTAGCCCCGGAGCTAATGCTAAGTCTCCCCTATGCATTCGAACTACAGTCGGGGCTCCGACGCAGGAAAGAGCTAACGTGTAACCAGCCGTGTTACAGGCACTGTTCGGAAAAAAATGTATTTAATTAAAAGTGAGAAAAAAAAAATCTTTCTGTGTAAATATCGCATGTTACAACGTGGACACCTGCGACTTATAGAGAAGTACGGCCTATATACGTACAATTATTTTTCTTCTTAAATTTACTGGGTGCGGCTTATATTCAGGTGCGGAAATTACGGTAATTCCTGCGTTTTAACTTAGGGCTCAAATACGACACTAACTAAAATGCGAGTCGATGCAGGACTGAAGGTGAAGTCTCTGTATGCTTTATGTATTGGTGACATTCTGTAATAACGGTACCTGTCGGGGCTCATTTGTGCCAACAAAGTAGGTAGCTCCTAGTAGGCCCTCAGGTAAACCCCCGCCACTTGGGCGGGAGTTTGACGGCTGCCCGCAGGTGTCGCAAATGACGGTGCGGCTCCGTAGGAAGTATTCATTCTCCCCACCACATGTGCTGTGTGCTCTCTGTGGGGGTAAGAGAGGAAGGGAGGCACAGCAAAATGAGTCAGGTGCAGCGGAGAAAAACAAGTGAGCCAAAAATATTCCTTGTGCTCTGGGTGGCTCTGAGTAAGTCTGGCTAGGTCTGGCTAGTCGCTGCTTTGCAAGTCACAAGTAAGTCTCAAGTCAAGACAGGCAAAGTCCGAGTCGAGTCCAAGTCAAGACTCAAGTCAAGTGTCAAGTCAAGTCCCAAGTCCTTACGTTTTTTGTTTCGAGTCATTTTAAACAAAATAATAATATATTTACACAGATCACTTTGGGTTTTGGAGAAATTATCAAGACTTGTCGAGTCAAAGGGCTCAAGTCCAAGTCAAGTCACGAGTCATTGA